CTATGTAGCCCAGGCTAGCTTTCAACTCCCAGGGATCCTCCTGCCTCAGCCTCCTGAGCGCTGGGATTACAGGCGAGTGCCACTGTGCCCGACATTTCTCTCCTTTTGCTTGCACCTCTACATTGTTTTCTCACCAGACTCCACAGTCAAAGAAATAGAAAGGGGAAAAGAAAGAACCTAAGGGAGAGTATGGGCATCAGCAAGAAGGTGCGTAAATGTCCCTCTGAGCAGAGACTTGGCACTTGGTTGAGATTTAGCACTGACCTGAAGGGCGACACTAATCCCAGAGGACTGGGAATCTTGCTGCAGACACAGGCATGAAGAGATGTGCTGCCACTTGGATCTTGAGGCTGCTACCCAGCCAAGATACAGACCCCACACATCCCAGCACCCAGAGCCCTCGACTTGGGGCTGTAAGTTCTAGCTCATCTCTTTTGGGCAACTTCAAATGAACACCTAGCTGACGTTTTGGTGGGTAGCCCTACCACCCACCTCCTAGGGCGGCTGGGATCACCGAGTGAATTGGTGTGTACAAAACTTTCAGGACGGTGCTACAAATTCCCATCAACCTCTCTGCTGCCTCTCTCTGTAAAAGAGATAATACTGATAATTGGCGCCTCTTAGAGTCATGAAAATTGAATGACCAAGTGAAAAAATAAAAGGTCTTACAACTTGCTGTACAAACAGAGGTGAATGTGAGTGTGGAATATCCCATCATAATACTTCCTGGTTATCTAATGTAGTGTTGTCCGACAGAAATAGAATGTGAGCCTCGCATGCAAGCTAAAATTTTCTAACAGTTGCATTAAAACGAAGTAAGAAGAAGCAGGTATAATGCTTCTAACAATAAATTCCCACTTCCCAGTGTGTGTGTGTGTGTGTGTGTGTGTGTGTGTGTGTGTGTATGATTCCTGGTCTCTTAGGGGGTCAGCCATGGAAGGGACTCTGCGGAGACAAAATGTCTCTGGCTTCCTATTGAGGACTACTGAGTCCTTCAACTGCCCAAGGGTTGCCAGCACCCCCCATTTCAAGTGTGACCTTCTTGGACATTCTGCATTGCAATATGATGGACTTTGCATGTGTCCTGGGGAAAGTGGAAGTGACAGCTACCTTGGGGAAAGAGGAAGAGGAAGGGCAAGAAAACATTTGGAGGTTGCCAGGGGACGAGAGTAGCACAGAGTAGCACAAGAGCTTCCCATCAGGCTTTGGAAAAGGCAGCAGAGACCTGTAGTTTTTGGAGGAGACAGGTGACACAAGGCGTAGGTGATGAAAACGCAGAACACAGACTCCTGGGAGGTGGGTCTTGTCTCCTGATGCAGAATGCTCCCTAGAGGAACTCAGCCTTGGAACACTTAGTATCACTGGCTGCTCTTAGCAACCCACAGTAGTAGGACTCCACAACCTACTAGACTCTAAGGCCAGGAAGTTCTGGCTTCCCAAATAACAATAATAGCACAGGCATACACAGCTCTCCTGTAGGTCTACAATTGAGCTGAACCCTTAAGGGCACAGAGATACTGACCAAAGATCTGCAGCCCTCAGGGGAACCCTGAGTGGACCAGGTACCTTCTGGGTGCAGGCAGAGGTGTGCGGGCTCAGCTGTGGGGGAAGCGCACAGGTGGCTGGTGGCAGGCACTCTTGAGTTATTCCATCTGCTCCGTAGAGGCAGGGAGAGGCTGCCCAGCAAACCCCACACTTAGACTTGTGGACCCTGAATGACTTCCCCTGGCTCCAGACCACCCCAGGTGGGCCAGGCACTTTGAGTTGGACCCTGCAAGGGCCCTTCCATGGCTTTTTGTAATTGAAGGTTCCTAAAGTTGACCTTCCTGGACAGTAGCCCTGGCCAACTGGAGGTGGGTAGGAAAAGGGTGTTGTTTTGGGGTGAAAACCTGAAACTGGAGATTTGACAGTTAGAGACAGCTGTCAGCTGAGAGACTCTGGCCACCTCCAGTCCTCGGCTTTCCTTGACAAGGCTTGGGATGCACTGCACCTCATCTCCTGCCTCCTTTCCACAGCTTCCAAGCCGCACTTCTCCCACACCTTCTCTTGTGCAGGACTCACGGTCAGTAAGTACGCAGCGCCCCTAACCCCACCTGCCTTTTAGAGACCGGGTACTTTTTCTGGGTTTGGCTACATATTTGGAACTCAGAGCCCAGGACGCTGCTTCAGAGCCAGTGGTGGTGCCACGCAGGGAGAGCCAAAGGCCTGGCGCTCCATGACCTGTGGCAGAGCTCAGCAGAAGCCGGGGCTGGGGAGGCTGGGGCAGAGATGCAGCCTGAAATCCGGCAAACTTCCAATCTTGTCACTCAGCCGCAGCCGGCAGGAGTGGGCTTTCTAACATTTGAGGGGTTGGGACATGGTTAGAGGAGGGAGTGGCTGCGCTGGAACAGCTGCAGAGAAACTAATTTGGGGCGGGGGTACACCTAGGGACGGTCGGAGGTAGTCCAAGTCCAGGGGAACAGAGTGACCGAAATGGAGACCGGCATGGGGACAAAGAAGAGAGAGCCTGCCTAGACAAAGAGCGAGGTCTTAGAGACCCCTAAGGGGCTGGGGAGATAGACTGCGGCTAGTCGCCCGTGGAGGTTTGGGACTCCAGGGCTGGGACCTCAGGAATCCTCCGATTCTGAACGGACCGCACACCTGAGACTCGGGTCTCCTTCCCGGAGGGCAAGGGCCTGGCAGACCGGAGAAGACGTGTGTGAATGTGTGTGAGTGTGTGTGTGTGTGTGTGTGTGTGTGTGTGTAGCAGGGTACAGCCATGCCTGCACTTTTGGGAGCGCCCACGGAGGGGCTGCAGAGTCCGGAACACTTTGGAGCCTGCGGGTCTTTTGTGACTGGGAGACAGGGCGCTGGCCCCCGTAGATCAGTGGGTCTAAGAGAACTGGTGTGTTTGTCCGTCCCAGCTCGCCCGAGGCTAGAACCACAGTCTATGCAGGGAAGGACAACGGCCTCAAAATGTTCTCAATTGAGCTAGGCTCGGAGTGTACGCTTACCTCTCTGAAACGCAACGGGACACTTTCAGAGTGGTGCGCGTCCCCAGCGCCAAGCTTCTGTAGGGGCGGCTCTGCGAAACAACCCGGGATCCCTCACCTTAGGCAGCCGAGTCATTTCTGTGGGGACCACGCTTCTGGAAGAGGGCTCAAAACATTCTCCATACAGTACAGTTGCGGACCTAAATCTTTTAGATCAAGTTTTAGTTAAACTTATATTCATTTTATTAAAAATAGGCGACCTAAATCACTTTCTACTCCAGCCTCTCCGAGGGCGCAAGAGAAGAGAAGGTTTTCAGATTAACTGGAGTCGAATATTTTACAGTTAAAAAAAACAATCTGGCTTCGTCCATAAGGGTGTAGCCCACTGGCCTCATGCAGCGTAGGTGATACTGGTCCCCGCAGAGAGGGCCTGGAAACACTCACCCTGGGCACTCTCCGCCTGCCTTTCTCTGCGCGACCAAACCTTTAAAGCAGAAGGCGACGTGGGAGGCGGGTCAGGTCTCCGGGTCCAGCGAATTCGCGATTTATCCACTTTCGGTTCCTGGGCCGGGATCTCGAGAAAATGTACTTTTACCTATAATGACCCGGGGTACGGAGGGTGCGCGGCGCCGGCGTGTCCTGTCTGAATGCCTGGCGCGCTGCGCTCCTGTCTCCCCGTCTGCGCTCCGGGAAGGTTCCCGCACACAGCCCGAAGCCGTTCGCAGTGCGCTTCCACTTTCGGCCGTTGGGCCCCCCTCCCCTAGAACCTTTCCGCTCCGAGAACAGCAGACTCACACCCCCTAAGGGAAGGCAGGGGCTAGGAATTTCAGCGGGGGCGACCAGAGCTGGTGTAGAGGCTAATTCCGAAGACAGGACTAGAGGACCTGTGCGTGGCTAGAGCAGAACTTGACCCAGCTCCGGCTCGGGTGCACATAAAGCCCACCCTCTGGGATGTCTCGGTTTGGGCCAGGTAAGGTGACCTGGTTGAGTCGGAGGCGCCGTCCAAGCCTCCAGGTAAAGTGCAAGAACTTGGGGCGCCTTTGCACACAGTGGCCACTTGGGGTCGCACTTTATGCCTGTTTGAGCCTGGCTGCTGTGGGCAGGCGTCGGGCTCTGCTTAATCTTTACAAAACCTTCAAACAAAAACAGGGTCGTTCTCCAGCAGCCGAGAGCCACCGGGGCACCGTCCCGGGCTGGCCTAGGCCTAAACCCTTGGAGCGCTCGGGGTTGCGTTCGTCTGGCTGGGGGAAGGGATTTAGCGCCTCTGGGCCGATTGTTTCTCTGTGGAGGTCTTGAGCTTTTGGGGGTGGGGTGAACACAGGGAGCGGCAAAGCCAGCTGGGTCTCATCGCAGAAGTCGGCCACTGCTCCGACCAGGAGACCAACGACCCCTCTTCGCCTAAGAAAGGTCCCGAGATTGAGAGTTGGGTCTAAACACAACTCCTGGAGCCCCGACTCCTCCCTCCTCCAACACAAACACGCGCAGACCTCCAGAAACACAGGCGCACACGGCTTGCATTCACGCAGCCCGCAGCCGCGAGGACACAGAGCGTCGCCCACTGGGCGGGGACCGCTAGGGAACAAAGGGCCCAGGAGGAGTCGTTCCGGCGCTCCTTCGGAGCTTCCTTGGGGGTGACAGGGCTGGGGGTGGGAGTGCAAGGGGCACTGAGCGAGGAGCGCGTGCAGACGTGGTGGAGGAAGCAGTCCTGGGCCCAGGGGTGTGGCGCGCGCGGAAGGCGAGCGCGCGGGGGCTCGGACCTGGAGGGTGTGGGGGCTGGGCCAGGCCGCCAGTCCCACTCCGCTCCGGTCCTCTGCCAGTCCCCGGCGGCTCCTGGGCCGTTCGGCCGCTTGTCAGCTGACGCGGGGGGCGGGGGAGCTGTCAGGCGCGCCCCGCCCAGCGCCGCTGGGCCGCTGGGGCCGCGCAGCCATTGGCCAGCGCGCGGGGCCGCCCGGGCCCCCACGCCCCAGTGACATCAGGAAGGCGATAAAAGGCAGCGGCGGCGGCGATTCCTGCACAGCTGCACCGCTGGGCTGCGAGCGGCTGCGAGCGAGAGCCCCAGAGCCGGAGAGCGAGTGGCGGGCGCCCGCCCCGCGCCTCCCCTCCGCCCACCGCGCGCCTCGTTCGCCTTTCCACCCCGCCCGCCAGGCCCGGCTCGCTCCCGGTGCGGCCACAGCCCCCGAGCTCTGGGGCAACACGGGCAGCCTCGGAACTCCCCGGCTCGCCGCCGCGTCCCCAGACAAAGGCTTGGCCAGCGGCCCCGGCCCGCTGCGCCCTTAGCTCCCCGCCTCCCCTGCTTGCAGCTCTTCGCCCCCGCGCTTGGCTCGGCGCGCCTCGGCCGGCCGCAAAGTTTCCCCGGCAGCAGCGGCGGCTGAGCCTCGCGTCAGCGATGGCCGCGGAGCTGAGCATGGGGCCAGAGCTGCCCACCAGCCCGCTGGCCATGGAGTACGTCAACGACTTCGACCTGCTCAAGTTCGACGTGAAGAAAGAGCCGCTGGGTCGTGCGGAGCGTCCGGGCCGACCCTGCACACGCCTGCAGCCGGCCGGCTCCGTGTCGTCCACACCGCTCAGCACACCATGTAGTTCGGTTCCCTCTTCGCCCAGCTTCAGCCCGACTGAACAGAAGACCCACCTCGAGGACCTGTACTGGATGGCGAGCAACTACCAGCCGATGAATCCCGAGGCGCTCAACCTGACGCCGGAGGATGCGGTGGAGGCGCTCATTGGTGCGCACCCAGTGCCACAGCCGCTGCAGAGCTTCGACGGCTTCCGAGGCGCTCACCACCACCACCACCATCACCACCACCCTCACCCGCACCACGCGTACCCAGGTGCCGGCGTGGCCCACGAGGACCTGGGCCCCCACGCGCACCCGCACCATCACCATCACCACCAAGCGTCGCCCCCGCCGCCGCCGTCCAACGCCACCAGCCCCGCGCAACAGCTGTCCAACAACCACCCCGGGCCAAGTCCGCACGCGGCGGCGGCGGCCACGGTGGCCGGCGGCAACGGCAGCGTGGAGGACCGCTTCTCTGACGACCAGCTCGTGTCAATGTCAGTGCGTGAGCTGAACCGCCATCTGCGGGGCTTCACCAAGGACGAGGTGATCCGCCTGAAGCAGAAGCGGCGGACCCTGAAGAACCGGGGCTACGCCCAATCGTGCAGGTATAAACGCGTCCAGCAGAAACACCACCTGGAGAATGAGAAGACTCAGCTCATTCAGCAGGTGGAGCAGCTTAAGCAGGAGGTGTCCCGGCTGGCCCGCGAGAGAGACGCCTACAAGGTCAAGTGCGAGAAACTCGCCAACTCCGGCTTCAGGGAGGCGGGCTCCACCAGCGACAGCCCCTCCTCTCCCGAGTTCTTTCTGTGAGTCGCGGCGGGTCCCAGCCCGCGCCCTTGTCCCGGCCCGGACTCCCTGTCCCGTGTCCCCAGCCCTGGACTTCCCTGGACCTTGTCCCTGCCATGGCCCCAGCCTTGACCTGTTTGACTTGAGCGAGAGGGAGGAAGGGCACACGGGCCGCGAGCGACGGGCGGGAGCGCGGGAGGCAGGGGACTTTGGCTAAGGCGAGAGTAGCGCACGCCAACCACCGCCTCCTAGACTCGAGCGGAGCCTCAGAGACGAGGGGGTGGGAGGTCCGGAGCAACTTTTCTCCAGGCAGGAAGGCGGCGAAGCATAGTACCGAGAAGTCGCCAAGGCAGTCTGGAGACGCTGGCTTTTCTGAACTTTGAGAGTGCCGGCTGCTGCTTCGCTGTCCGGAGCTCTGTCCGCTCTAGGAAGAGAGCAGAGGAGAGGGACCCTGGCGTCTCCGGCAGGCGCGAGGCCAGGTTGAGCGGAAGGGGATGAACAGATGGACCTGCGGGGTCTAGAGTCCAGAGAACACTGGCTCTCAGCCGGGAGACGCGGTCCTTGGCTAGGACGTTCCAGCGCGCAAATCTCATCCGTTTTATTGCCTGCTCGATTATATAGAAAAATACGAAAATCTGCATTAAAAATATTAATCCTGCATGCTGGACATGTATGGTAATAATTTCTATTTTGTACCATTTTCTTGTTTAACTTTAGCATGTTGTTGACCATGATTCATAACCCCCTTGTTTCTTTGGGTGAGAAGGGATCGCAGTTGGGAAAACTCCAGTGGCTGTGAGCCGGGTTTCAGCCCTGGCTGCTGGTTTGTAAATACCTGCCCCCACCAAACCGCACGGAGTACGTACGTGGCAGCAAGCTGAGGGTCTTTGTTTGGGTTTATTATTAGACCCTTTTCTTTGTAAGTTTACAAAAAAGGGGGGAAAAGAGAGAGAGAGAGAAAGTTCCAGACATTTAGCATCAGACAACTTTGTCTTGGGGTAACCTTGGAAGTTGCACGATTTCTTCTGTCCCTCTCCTGTTTTGTTCTCTCTCTCTCTCTCTCTCTCTCTCTCTCTCTCTCTCTCTCTCTCTCTCTCTCTCTCTTTTCCTCCTGTTTAGTTTTCAGTTTTGTGGGCTTTGATGCACAGTACAAGGACAGGACAGCTGTGGAGTTCCACACCTCTTCCCCAATCCCTGCCTAGTTTCTTGGCCAAATTGACACGTCTAATAAGAGGAAAGCAAAATAGATCTCTTGGGCTTTTTATTGTACTCAGAATCACCCCAGGGTCCCTTTGGAATTTGCCAGGCTGACATTAATTCTGAGGGTCCCCAGTTCTCCTCCTGGGGTGAAAAGCATTAGCATCCTTGACACTGGTCTGTGACCAGAGCTTGCATTGACCCACCTGCCTCATTCAGGACGTAGCAAAACACCGAACATTGGCAAGTGATTGCAGCTTTCAAGTGTGCTCTTTAGAAGTATATGTTTCTTTCCCTGCTTTTGAGATGGCAGGAGAAGTTATTGGCGGTGTTTCTCTCCCCCTCCTTCAGTTGTATAGTAGTTATCCAGGAGAGCTGGGTGTTTTTCTTTATTATTACTTTTTTTTCTGCAGGTCAGTAAAAGGATTTAAGTTGCACTGACAAAATATACCAAAATTAAAGACTATTTTTTAGTTCCCATTTGAAATTGCTGGCGCTGCTGGCCAGATGCATTTCTGAGTTTGTATTAGTTGATAAATTAACAGTAATAACAAGATTGTATGAACCGCATGGTGCTTGCAGTTTTAAATATTGTGGATATTCGTCCTGCATCAGAAACGAGCTTTGGTTTTTACTGATTCAACTGTGTTGAAATCAAATTTACCGCAACAGAAATTGTTTTTATTTCATGTAAAATAAGGGATCAATTTCAAACCCTGCTTATGATATGAAAATATTAAAACCTAGTCTATTGTAGTTTTATTCAGACTGGTTTCTGTTTTTTGGTTATTAAAATGGTTTCCTATTTTGCCTATTAAAACCATGGAAATGGTGTTTATTTAGAGGACTGCGTCGTCGCATGACTTTGATTCGTTTCTTGCTTCTTCAAGAACTGCACCAACTTTGGAGCTTGGCCACCTGAAGAAAGTATAAACGAGCCCAGGCACATCTTTCCATTAAGTTCGTGGAAACTCCAATGTGTTCTCAGGTTTTTATCCTGAGTCCAGACAGTGGTCAAGAGTTGGCTTGTGAGTGGAGATGCAGGTGCAGGTCTAAAAGGCTCTGGAATCCCCGGGCGTTGGCATGTCCCACTTTTTCAGCACTTTCTGACTTGGTGATCAGGGCTGCCTGCGGGCCTGCCAGCTCTGGCTCTGAGTTGGTAAATGGCAGAAATCAGGAAGCCAAGACTTGCTCCTCTGATGGGTCTTTTGGTGTTTAGGGCTGTCCTGGCTTTCCTGCCCAGGCTTAAGGTCTCTAGGGGAGCTCCTGCTTGGCACCCTGAGACTGAATACCTGCTCTGAATGGAGAGCTGGCCTCCTCCCTAACATAGGTGGAGGCAGTGAAACCAGCACTGAATCTTGGGGTGCTCAGTCCTTGAAACACAAAGGCCCTCCTCAGCTCCTTTGGGGGGTTACTACGTAAAGGTGAACCTGCAGCTGAGACTGGGATCCTTCAGCCCCACAGAAGGGCTCCGCACTGAGTATCCAGTCAGGCTCCTCAGACTGAGGATCAGAGAGATTTGGGGCATCTTTTGGCATAACAGCTGTCACTGCAGCCTGAAGATCCCCAACCTGGAGGTAGCCCTAGACTTTTCCTTTTTCCTGATTCTTAGGAAAGCAGTGTCCACCTAGATTGCCCCAAACTCCTCTCAGCCTCCATGCAATCCAGTTTATAATCTAGGATTGGCCTCGGATACCCCTGAAAGGTGGAGAAGAACTGATGAACCTCAGAAGAGTTCTGCACTCTTTTTGGTAGTGGCTGACTCCTGTGACTTTCCTGTCCCCAGCCTGAGATTATCTGGCTCCATGTTCTTAACAGGAAATTTCAGGACCTGAAAGTGAGGTAGAGGAGCCCAGGCTTTGGTGTCTCATCCAAGCACTGGAGCTGGGAGGAACCTGGGGGAGAGAGGCAGAGAGTTGAGCTCGCAGGGCATGGAACTGGGTCTGGATCCCCGGAGATTGGGAGGGTGGGAGTGGTAACTAAGGTCTAGGAAAGAGCGAGATCTGAAAATAAAGACACGAATATGAACAATAACATACACACATACAGTACTTGGTGTTTAGTAAGAGAGAAGCTTGGGATTCAAGCTCTCCAGTTTAGTTCCCAAATCTAGTTCGTTGCACCAACAGAAAGACCTGTCTGGCAGGGAAGGATCTGGTTGCGATCTGGGAGGAGGAAGTGGTTGAGGCTGTGGTTGCCGACTTTGTCCTTGTGTGCTGGAAGAAGAAGGAATCAGAGGGCATGCTAGTTTTGTAGTTTCATACTTAAGTTCTTCTACACAGAACATGTACAAATGCTTCCCTTGTGGGGCGAAAGAGGACTGTGTCAGGGTCAGGCGGGAAGCCAGAAGGAACTCGGCTGTGTGTGCCCCACAGAGACCAAGGGAGGATCACAGACTCCTGGTGGTGGAGGCCCAACCGGACCCGTGGCCTGCCTCCTTGTGGAATCATCTGAGCAACCAGCACGCCCCACCTCTAGGGTCATTTAGGCTTGGTCTGTGAAAAGCCTCCCGGTTGGGAAGGAGAGTTGTGAATTGCACAGCCTTGGTTTTTCTCCTCCAGGGCACAGAGAAACCCCAACGCACTCAGTAACAGCTGCCATCACCTTGCATCCAGTGGCACAAGGTGGTTCAGGTCAGTTCAGAGTGACCAGCTGCGCCTTGCAGAAGATAACACTTGCACAACCCAGCCCTAGCTACACCCAGAAACACACGCCCACACCCTGCAGCCACACTGAAGCCCACTCAGGCACTGCAGACCCTGCACCAAGTCATCAATCGACCATTAGCCTGCTGCGGACACAGAACAGAGGCATACTAGGCAGCTCCCTGGAGGAGCCCGGGGCTTTGGATCCTAGAGGGCGGATTTGTCCAGAAGGTACAACCGGCTGGTCTCTACCCGCAGTCTGCCTTTGCGACCCACCAGGATGCCCTGACCCAGCACCCACAAGTCCAGGAAAAGAGAAGTGGTTCCCGAGCACCGAGCACCTTCAACTCGGCGGCACTCTGCAGGATTCATCCCCTCTTTCCGTTCTTGCTGCTCCCGGTAGCTCTCCATCAGATCGTCATGTCCAGGGGCTGGGAGCAGAGGCGGGCGGTGGCGTCCTCCAGCGCAAGAAGTCTTCCAAGCCCAAGCTGGTCCCATGTAGACAGGCTGGCGCCTGCACCCGGAGACACACTCGGAGACACACAGACACCGGGACGCACGTGGAGGGGGGTGGGGGGCACACACGGGCTCTGGGGATGCGGCTCTATTCCTGCTGTGCCCCATACTGGGCGGCCCGATGCACTCGCATTGGGTGCGAAGCCCTCTTCCTGCCATCCTGTATCTTAAGGGTGTTGGGGATCTGGGTTGGCAGCCGCTGCCCTCACCTTCACCAAGCCACGTCCGGGGAAGGCGCTGGGGCGGCTCCCAGAAGCTTGGGCTCCTCACAGCCTCTGCAAGGATCAGCCCCTTCCCTTGCCTTCCGTGGCAAGCCCCAGCCGGTCTCCACCAGCCGCCTGCGGTGGACCGCTGCGACGCCCCAAAGACCCGCACTCACAAGTCCAGGAAAAGAGAAGTGGGTCCAGAGGACGCTTTTCTTTTCTGTTTTGTTCTTCCATCTTTCCTTTTTCTCTTCCTCTTTCCTTTCTCTTTTCTTTTCTTCCTTCTCTCTTTTCTTTATTTTTCTTCTTCCCTCCCTCCATTCTTCCTTCTTTCTTTCCTCTCTTTTTCTTTCCCCCTTTTCCCATCCTCCCCCGCACCATTCCCCATTCCTTTATTCCTTCCTCCCTAACCTCTTGTTTCAGAGAAGTTTCTCATTCTGTTTGCTTTCTCTTCTGCCTTTTATCCGGTGCTTCCCAGTGGGGATGGGCTACAGAGCAGGTCCTGAGGAACCTGGAGGGAACAGGGCGGCCAAGGACGATGGCTGAGGTCTGCAGTCTCTGCAGAATGGGTGCTGCCAGTTAATTTAGACCTTGCCTGGACTCCTTCGGCTCTCCCGTGCTTTCCTTTGTTCCCCTGGCCAGCACCAAGGTTGGAAGGTGGCCAGCAGGGAGCAGTGTCCCGAAGGCCAGCGAGGGGCAGCTCTGTGATGGGGATCCCTGGAGAGCCGAGGCTGGCTGTGCATCCGGGGCCCCCTTTCAGTCCCAGGCAGGCTTCTCACATTCCCTGGTCTCTAAACATTTATGTGGCAGGATAATTCCCTGCTTACTGGAGGACACTCATTTTCCTCTTGTCATGCCCGTGCCTGCCTGGGGACACTCTTGAAGGTAGCTGCCAAGAACCACACTAGAGATATACCAGGCTGGTCACTTGGTTTCTGCTGTGACCTGGAGTTATAGCGCTTGCCACCCACACCAATTCCTTACACCACCACTCTCCTGTGCGTAGTCCCTAGACCATCGCCTCCAGGTTGCCAGAAACGTCAGGTTTAGAGTTTCCAGTCCTTGCAAGCAAGCTTTCAAATGCAAAGATTGCATTCTGGGCCATTCTCTCTTCTGAAAGGAAAATCCAGAGCTGACTTGTGGAGTAACTGGAACCCTTTCCTCTGCGGGCTACAGACCCAAGGCCAGGCCTTTCCTCCTAGAGATAGTTGTGTTTAGTTTTGTTATGTAAGAAATCCTTTTCCCCTCACTAGAATCAAAGCCCTCAAATGGCACATCCTGTAGGTAGTGTCATTTCCAGTAGTGGCCCTCGGGGAAGAAGTCAGTGTGGCTGGAAGAGCTTCTCCAGGCTGGTGACTAGCAGGGCACACTTCATCGACAGTCTCATTGCAGCGACTGAAATGACATGAGGGTCCTTCCTGGGTCCAGGGTGTACCTGGCTTGCAGAAGCAGCACCTCCAGGCTTTTGAGGTTGTGGCTTTCCTGGCTTACCAAGTCTAGACTTTTTGAGAAAGAAGCAACTGCTGCAGAATTTCATCCTTTCCACAGTTCCTGTGCTAGGGGCAGGGGTCCAGCCCATGGAAAGCACATTTTAAAGCTGAGGAGCACCCATTCTCTAGGCCTTCCTAGGTCTCTTCATCTGCCTTTCTCTCTCCAAACACAGGTCCCTGGTGCTGCCTGGCCCCCTTCCCCTCCTCTCCTCTTCTCTGTCCTTCCCTCCCCCTTTTCTCCTCCCCTCCTCTCTTCTCCCCTCCCCTCCACTCTCTTTTTCTCTTTCTCTTTCACTTTCTCTTTTCCAAGCCTTCTATTTCTTAGTCTTCTTAATACTTTTCTCTGTTGTCCTGTGCATGTTATCTTAAAGGATGCATTTACACAAGAAGATCAGAGCTAATATTCTCACTTGGAGGAAATTAAATACATGAGAAAAATCACTGCTCCAGTACATGGAACCCACCTAAATTAATAATGAGGATTTGTTTCAAGCAATATTCAGTTTTTGTGGCCTCTGCATTCTTTGCATGTAAAAGTTACTTTCATGTTAAAAACAAAACAAAACAAAACAAAACAAAACACCGAACCGGCAGCCATGCATTCTGTATTCTGTTTTATTTGTATCAAAAGGGGATGTTGTTTTGGAGAGTGCAGGGTAATGGGAGATCTGGAATTTTCTGGAAGGAATAAACCAGTTCCAGTATGAGAAGAAACGTAAAGATACCGATCCAACATTTATATTGTTGTGTTTTGCCTTTTGGGTCTTTGTGGATTTTACTAAGGTTTAGATTTCTTCCAATAGATGACTAGTGGAGGGAAGCTAGAGGAACTCATTTCGGAGTTCGGAGACTGATGGAGGCATTGATCCTGGCCTGTGACTCCATCAAACCCAGAAGCTGAGCCTGCC